TATGCTATTTATTGCTACAGAGGAAAGTGCTCGTAGAATCACTTCTAATCTGTTCTGAAGACGGTAATTAAGTTCCAGGAGGGTTAAAGGCTGGCGTACAAGATTTTGGCTCGGATAGGAATGGTGGCCAAAGGAAGCTGAACGTATTATGAATCTTAATCGGCTACAAGACATCTTGTCCCAGTACATGAGGCCTGATTTAACAAGATAATCCAGAATAAACTAAAGGTGCTGAAACTCTTTCTGGAAGCTACATTTGTGGAAAAGGTGATAAACCGGAGGAACGCCCCATTGCTTTGTGTATTTATTTGTCTCTCTGAGATCTAGGGGAACAGTGTGACCTCCATCTTGATGATGAGAAACAGGTTTGCACCAAGTGACTATCATGAGGCTTGTATCTCTTCAAGCCTAACCTCCAGACCACTGCACACCCAGAGCGAGATCTCCCATTAGGTCGAGTAGGTGCCTGACCACTAGGAGGCACCTGTTTTGAGCACTAACAATGTGTCTCTTTAGCTCAAATAAGCTGGTGGGGAAAGATAAGTAGCAGGAGCCTTGGCTAGTGTTCTCTGTTGTCCAGTCAGCATTAATAGTATAGCTGCAGGAACAGTTATAGAGGGTGTAAAACTCAATGCTGTCCCAGCTCCTTCATTGTCTGTGTGTGAGGCTGGACAGGAAGTGGAAGGGATCACTTCCTATCTGCCCACTAACAGTCTCTCACACAGGAAATGCCTTGCAGGAGGAACAGGGGAAGCGCTGAGTGATGCACACTGTATAGCAGCTCCTATAGCTCTAATATCATCAATTTGGCTGATATAGGAGGCAGCCATAGCCTAATCCTGAAAATAAACCCGTTACCTTAATACTTTGTTTAATACTACGTTTAACTACTTAAAAATTAAACGCCTCATGTAACCCAACATTAAATTTAACCCAACTGCAGCTTTAATCACTCTAAAGATGTTAAGGAGACACTGTAGACACCCAGATCACTTCAACTCATTGAAGTGGTCTGGGTGCAATGTCCCATGTCCCTTAACCCTACATTTGCAGTTTCTGAGAACTACCAGACAGCCACTACAGTCTGTCTACCAGACAGCCACCAGACAGCCACTAGAGGGACTTCCGGAATCGAAACGTACCTTTGCTCCATTATCTGACGCTGGATGTGCTCACACTCTGCATGAAACCTCCACCCTTGACATAGTTGTGTGCTTTGTATCAGCCTGTACATCTAATATGTTCTACCAGTAACCGGCAGTATTCCCCGGCCTTCGTGACTATTTTGAAGCTGTCTAATTTAGTATATTTGCCAAGATAGCATGACACTGAACTTTTCATAGATCAGAATCACTTCGTCTCTCGCTGATGTCTTGCTGTCTTTGTATCTGATATACCTGTATCGTCATTCTCGTATATATTTCTGATCTAGCATTTCTCTTTTTCTTAATTACGATATGCTTTTTTGTTTTCTTTTTTATTTGACTGCCAATAAATAAAAAATGTGTCACGAGTCATGACAATTTTGTATACTTTTTACTTTTGTGGCATCTTTGATTGTGAATGTTAACACTTTTACACATCCTCAAGAGTCAGCTGTGATTTGTAGGTGCTATCATGCCTTTGTGAAGATCCTTGCTTGTAGATGTAAACCAGAAGTTGGGAAAGCTCCTGTAGAATTCTTTATATCAGACTCCAAAAAGTTAGGCGTCAGCAGTAAAAATGATAATTCCATTTTTTTTTTTTAGAACATCATCTCTCCTGCGGTTTTCAAGCCATTCTTTAATGTTAACTATAAAAATATGCATCATAATAATCAATACCTCATTGAAGTATGTTAATTCACAAGACAATTGATCTCAAAACGCCCTCCAGAAACCCAACCCCAAAGGTTTTATCAATAGATTGCCTCATTTGGTATTTTTTTAAGAAGGAAGATTTGTAAAAAGTGTTGACAGGATGAGATGGAACTTGTCAAGTCAAAATAGTGTCTCGGATAAGGAAAGTCAGTCTTTCAAATTTCTTTGCCCAAAGTACAAGCCAAGAATCAAAAAATGCATCCAAGAATTTCTGCTTTCAACCACGACCATTCCTCCTCTAATTAACATAAACTGATCGGATTGTCTGTGCTAGTATTCTGTGACATTTCAAACCACAAGTCCGATCCCCGGATAGCAGGCGGAATTACAAAGGATAAGGAAACAAGAGGGAGAAAACTATCAAATGAATAAATTGAGAACCAGGCAAATGACTTGCCAAAGATGACTCCCATGGAATAGAATGCAGACACTTTGATGAGGGCTAAGTCGCTTTTTATTTTAATGAAATCATAATGCAAGTAATCTAGGAAGACATCTTTGAAATGTGTTGGCAGAGAAAATACGAGAAAAATGATGAAAAGCACTTAGTCATAAGTTAAAGATTACAATTTAATGAAATACTTTCTGATATTGGAAGCTTTGAGAAAGGCTACTTACTTCTAGCACTTTCTGGAAAAAATTATCTGGGCCTGGTTACACCTCGCAGTCACATGCCAGAAACATCACTTACAATACTATTGCTACTTAATCTAATATTATAAGTTTAACAAAAGGTTCCAGAATATACACAGATTGCTTGAGTTTGGTAATTTCTTAAAAGGCGTTACCCGCAAACTCAGCATTTGGCTCCTAATGCAGCACATTGTGACCTCTTTTCAAATTTCTCTGCGCCAAAACTATGCTGCATTTAGAATGTTGAAATTTAGTGTAGCCTACAGCATGAGGTTTTTTTTTGTCTTTTTTTTGAAAGTTTATTATTTATTTATTTTTGTTAAATTGAACCTGTCATATTTTATCTCACAATTAATTTTATTTCACACATTTGATTTAATCTGAAGGAAGCAAGCTTTATGCAGAGACAATCACAGAGTGACAAAATGTAAAGTCGTGTTTGTGACGTTGGCATCATTTAGCTCATTTCAGATCTGCTGGTGAGGACGAGTGTGACAGAGATGAACTTTTTACGGGTGAGAGAATATTTTTACAGGAAGAGTGAGATGAAGAAGACAATGATAAAAGATAAATTAATTGACTCTGAAGATCTTGGGTTACATTATTTTTAATGTGTGATGAATTTTGAGCTTTTTTACAAGAGAGAACGCAGCACAAGAGAGAGGCTAAGTAATTTGAATATTGACCGTGTACAGTATATACAGTAAATTAAAATTAACATTTCTTTCCCCTCAAAAACATGGAGTAAGGGAAGGAGGAAGACCAGTTGTTGTGCTATCTCTTTTTACGAGAAGGTCCAGGTTGGTTGCTGCTAAACTGCAACATTTCATATCTCATAGGCCAGTGAGATAGCTTAGTGGGCTAATGCATCATCAGTAGAATCTGCTCAACCTTTGGCTTGCAGGTTCAAATCCCAGCAGGTTCAGCTCCTTCATCCTTCTGAGGTAGATAAAATGAATATTGGACTTCAATTTCATTCAAAAGATATGATAAAGATTTCATAAGACAAAGTGTTGAGTACTTTGTGTCATGCATTAATCAAAATGTGACAATGGGCAAATCTTTCACTGCATATTCCACCCATCTGCTTGGAAATACCTCTTGCTACATGTGTGTGTGAGAAGATCTATGGTGGATCCCTTGGAATCTTCCATACACTCTTACTATATACACAATAGTAATAGAAAAATAACAACACTCATGGCAAAGCATTCAGACAGAGCCAGAGAAACACACTTTAGCTTGCATTTTACAAAAAGTGTAGGTTTTAATAGAAATTGGCAATTTTACAAATTAACCTTGTTACACCCCCACGGCTGTCAAGCAGACAACAGATCCTGTTACTTCCTGGTTAGGTTGGCCGGTGCAGTAAAACTCAAGTGACAGTAGCTGCCTAGAGCACCTGCCTTGCAAATTTCTCATTGAACTGAATTGGGAAGTCTGTGATTGGACAATCACAGAGAGTCTGTGCGGGTTAGAAGGGCAGGGCTTGTAAAAGAGACCTACACCATTTCTTAGTTTTTTTTTCTTAGTTTTTCATTACAGAATTTCTAACCATGCAAACAATGAGTTTTAAGGTGTATGTTGGGATATGCCCAGGCACCATATTTACTGGCCCATTTTAACAATGCCAGTATCGTGGACAAAACGATAAATAATGCCATGATGTATGTCAATTTTCTGGATAACAAAAATAGCTCTAGGGGTCTCTTAAAACAAGCTATCTCATTATAATTGGTTTATTTATCATATTGTGCCCTGCTGTAAATCAGTGTGAAAATGAATCACTGGTCACATGCTGAGACCTGGACGCATGGTCTATAAACACGGCTGAAATATCGGAATATTTAATCATGCTCAGTGTTCCTTCTGAGGTGTGTAACAGCCCTGAAGCCGTTTTCGTATAAACCATGCCTCTCAGTTTCCATGGGAACAAAAACAGATCAATCAATGAAACCCCGCACTGAGCATTTTGTAAAACATTCTGACTTAACTCTTTATGTTATGGAATGTTCACTGCAGACGGGTTACCATCTCGTCCCTAAAATCCAAAGTGCACCTTCGCTTGGCATGAGATGAGAGCTCGGGTTGAAATTTGTATCACTTTCTACTAATGGAATAGTCTAAAGTGGGAGTTAAAAGTACATTTAACTTGAACCACTTTAGCAGAAATAAAGAAATGTCACTTTCCTTTTCCAAGAGAATAAAAATATTGTCCGTATCAGACTTTCTTATCATAGCGGCCTACCCTCCCTCCTCCGCATTCCCCTTGTGTTTTTGATTTTTAAGAGGATTTCACAATATGCTAACCAATTTCTCCACTACTTTGAACTGTGAATATATACTCCAAGAAATGCGTAAAAGACCAGTCTGACTTAACGCGCCCAAATGTGATTAGTGTCAAACTGTGACATATCATTTCCTTATCTCCAAGAGCCAGCAGACAGGAACATTTTAAGGGATCGAGCCCTAATGCGCACTATTGTTTCTTCTTTGGCAGAACATGTTCTTTGAGGTCTCGCTTTTGCATTCACATCCTTTGCCGTCATGTTGCTTTGTTCAATCCGCTCAGATGTTTTATTTTGTTTTTTATGAGTTGACATTAATTTCTGATCAAGGGACATAATTTTTAAAGATGGCAGATGGCGGCGTTAACCCTTTCAAAGCTGGTAAGAAGATCTACAAAACCAGGATGACGCCACATTTTGATAGACTTTTTTAATGTAGAGAATATTTATTGTATTATTGGCTTCACCAAACACAGCCCTCTGCTTGTTCATGTATGCCACCATCATTTTAAAGGGACACTATAGTCACCAGAACCACTACAGTTTAATGTAGTGGTTCTGGTGTCTATAGCCTGTGCCTGCACGCTTTTCAATGTAAACGCTGCCTTTTCAGAGATAAGGCAGTGTTTACATTGCTGGGTAGTTACACCTCTAGTGGCAGTCACCAAGAAGGCCACTAGAGGTGCTTTCTGGGTCAATGCTGCACAGACAGTATACAGCACTGGCGTTCAGAGTCTACACACTCAGGGCATGGAGGTGCTGAACTCTCCCCATAGAGATGCACTGATTCAATGTATTTCTATGAGTAGACACTGATTGGCGCAGCCCTGCATATTGCTGCACATGCACAATATCCTTCTAATGTTTTCATATGGGAAAGCACTGGATTGGCGGAGATCGTCATGTTTGATGATCTCAGCCATAGAGGCATGACCAGCAGTGGTGAGACAAGCATGGCGTGGGAGAAAAGGTAAGTGTAAACACCTTTTCAGGGCAATCGGAGCAAGTCTGGGACCTAAACAGCCATACCAGGACTATAGTATCAGGAATACATGTTTGTGTAGTGTTCCTTTAAAGTTCTACCCCCCACAGACTGGCAGTAGAGAGCCCAGGCATTCATGATTGAGAGGGGAAGGTGCCTATCAAGTTGGTAAGTATGTGAACATATGTCTATGTATATATTTATTTAGGTATAAGAGCATCTATGTATGTTTGTGTTTGTTTATGTCTGTGCATGTGAGTGTATGCATTAGTGTGTATCTATATAAGTGTGAGTTTGTCTTTGTGTGCATGTCTACGTGTGAATTCATAGGTATGTATGGCTAGCTATGTCTATGTGAGAATTCATAGATGTCTATAGCTTTGGCTAGTTATATATACGTATGACCAGAGTCAGATTGTCCATTAGGGGATTGTCCACAAGGGGCCTGTTTAAGGAAATCCCCCTTTACTGCTATTCTCCCAGATTCCTGTGTGCTCCTCTGATCTCTCTGATGCTGGACACCATGCCCATGGGCCTTGTCTAATTGTCTATTTTTATTTCTGGTGTCCCTTGATTCTGATGGTTTGTTTTGACTATTCTGTGTATGTGTATCTGTGTGTGGGTGTGTGTTTGTCAGAAAATGTGAGTGTGTCAAAAGGCGTGATAAGTGGTAGAATTGGGGAGGAGCCAGGGATGTGGTTTTGGGTAGAGGCAAAAAGTTGGGTTTTGAAAAGGGGTCACCAAATTATACATTAGTTTGGCATCAGCCCTGGGTATTTTTTGATTCTAGCAGCTCCCCTATCTGACTGTGATTTGTATCTGGCACAGTCTCCACCAGCAGGTTTTACTCAGAGTGTGACTTTACTGAAATACCAGTTATTATAACCCTTGTAACAAAAAAATATATGTGCTTGCGTCTATATGTAAATTGCTAAATATGCATGTATGTATGCGCATTTGTGTGTGTGTGTGGTGGGTCCCCAGTTTCCTTTGGTCTTAGGCAGAAAAATGTCTTGAGCCAGGTGCTGACTGTAAGTGGGTCAAAGCAGCCAAAAGGAAGGATAGTCCCAACATGGGCAGATATTTGCAAATTTTCCCCAGTAATGCAACTGAGGCAGATCTAAAAGACAATCCCACTGCCGCGACAGGTATTGTACTAGAGGAATAACAAGTTCTCAAAACTGGAGTGTCCCAAGTCACCAAGCACCCTTATGTGAAGCAGAGAAGAGAGGGTGCTGTGAAATGACAGAGTTCATAACAGACTTACAGCAAATATCATCAGTAAGAGCTGTATGTATGTACTATCAGCCAGCAATTTAACAAGCGGTGGTACAGGAAGTGCTGCATCGTGGGAAATTTAGGTCCAAAAATAAATGTTATGCTATGTCTTCTCCATGGTACTGAAATCATAATGCAAATTTAAAGGATCACTGTAGGGTCAGCCAGGAACACAAACTGTATTCCTGACCCTATAGTGTTTAACCCACCATTTAGGTGGCTTTCTGCCCTCCCTTTGCCCTCCTATAAAAGTTTAAAACTCACCTTATTTCCAGTGCCGCGTGGGTCTGCCGGCACAGGCTCCGCCCCCTTTGTGACATCATCAAAATTGCCAATTTTTTGCCAATCCTCGGCACGGGGGCGGGGCCAAATGCAGTTTTAGCCAATCAGGACCTCCTCATAGAGATGCATTGAATCAATGCATCTCTATGAGGAAAATTCAGTGTCTGCATGCAGAGCGTGGGGGACGCTGAATGGCAGGGCTGCTTACTGTGCAGCACTGAGCCAGGAAGCACCTCCAGTGGCCATCTAAGGAGTGGCCACTTGGAGGTGTCCCTAGGGGCAATGTAAACACTACATTTACATGAAAATGCCTGAAAGGAGCTATTATACTCACCAGAACAACTACATTAAGCTGTAGTCGTTCGGGTGAGTATAGTGTCTATTTTATAACAAAAAAAAAGCAAAACAAATAAAAGGAGGAAATAATGTCTGGCAAATCAAATGTATGAATCAGAAAACTAACATATAAAATCCAGAAAACACCAATAACAATGATATATAATAAAAAAATCTGCCATAATATATATTTATGATATCTCCCCTTTAAGAAAGTTTAGCTACCAGTCTTCCTCATCTTTTCCTTCCCTCCCTATGCGTTTCTCATTTTCATTCCGCAACTAACTCACAGCTTCTTCAAAGTGAGATTCCGAAGAAAAAAAAGTTTAATTATTGGGTCCTTTACGCAAAGCAAACTGTTTCTGTTTATCTGCTAAAAAATGCTGTTTGGGCATTTTTATGCTGATTTATTCATATTTCCAAGGTCTTCTATGTCAACAACTGCAGGCACGGGATAAAGGATTTTTTTTTATCTCCTATAATTTTATAGAGTCTTTCATTTGTCCCATGAAAGAGGCGTTCTATATTATATATTAATGCAAGAGGTTTAAAAAAAAAAAAAAAGAAATCAAATATAGGATTTCAGAAACCGTGGAAACAAACTTTAAAAACTAAAACGTGTGGGGACTTAATAAGCTTCATTTTCCCAAGTGGAAGGTTTCTATAGGACGCTTTATATTAGTATAATCCTGCTGTCATTTATTTCAGATACAATGATTTATTTTTCATTTCTTTAAGCAAATAAAAATAGCAGGCACTTAATACACACAGAGGCTACTTCTAAAGTGCTAAAAATGGAGCATTGAGGAATAACATTCCATAGGTCTCCATGGCGACTGCTCCATCTTTATTATTTCATCTTAGATTTGCTTTTAAAGGGACACTGTGTATTTCAAGTTTATCATAGAGATGGATGAATCTTTATTAACTCACATTTCTTTTATGTGGGAATTTCACTGAAATTATAAAGTAATCTGAAAATCTGGAGATATAAATTAGCTAAATTAAGGATTGAAAAAAAAAATCTTCTTCTCTTGTCTTGCCATTTCCTGTGATTAGTTGGACACAAGAACAACAGTTTATCAACTTTTCAAGGCACATCATAAAAGTGTAGTTATTGCCACACATAATGTCACATCTGAAAGCTTAAAGGGACACTATAGTCACCAGAACAACTACGGCTAAATATAGTTGTTCTGGTGTTTTTAGTCTCAGTCAGAGAAAAGGTAGTGTTTACATTGCTCCCTAGGAACACTTCCAGTGGCCACTCCTCAGACGGCCACTGGAGGTGCTTTATGGGTCATTGCTGCACAGTGTGTCTCCATACTCTGCATGGTGTCACTGAACTATCCCCATAGGGATGCATTGAGTCAATGCATCTCTATAATGAGTAATGAGATGCTGATTAGCCAAGCTGGTGTTTAACCCTGCTTCCACCCCGCCTCCTTGACAATCTCAGCCAATCCAATGACTTTCCTATGGGAAAAAAATCAGGAGATTTAAGAATGTACAAACCTATCTCTTAACTACAGTGTGGTAAAATCCAGTATTTTTACTCAGCCGGATGAGATATTTATCCTGTCTCTAAAATCCAGGCTATTTCCAGTTTTCCCCCTAAATTGCACTGCTTACTTAATTTCTGGGCCCCTGTCTAACTCCAAGATCCCTAGGCAACTGCTTAAGGCGTCCTTATGGTTAATCCCACTCTGGTCTGCATACTGTCCTGTCTTTTTGGGTGTCATTAAATAACATCAGAGGGTGTTGTTGAGCAGAACATGACGTTATCACGGTCGTGTGATAACCCAACACGCTGTATGTAAACCCACAGAAAACCCAAATACGTATTACCGAACCTTAGAATGGTCGGGTTTAACGTAAGAGAAAAGAGTAGTGAAAGAATAGCCAAAAGTCAGGATACCAGAAATCAGGAGAGCGTATAAGAGTTGCCGGTCAGGATACCAGAAATCAGGAGGTCAAAAGTCAAGCCGAGTCGGGAAACCAAATAACAGGAATGTCAGAAGTCAAGCCGGATCAACACACAGGAATAAAAATAATAATGCAAGGAGAACTAAATAGCACTAAGGGGACCACAAGGAACCACAATAGGGCAAGAAACAAGACAAAAGGCGCCACTTTTATAAGGGAGCATCTTTTGCTTTAAGACCACGCCCCTAAAAAGTTCTGGTCTGGTATTGATGACGCGGGGTTGCGTCATTGACGTCGGCACGTATGCACCGCGTCATGAAAAGGGACGTGTTTCCTGCGTCCGGCGTGGGACATCACCGAACACAGCCAGAGTGGAGCCGGCGTTGGATCCCACACCACGCAGGCGCGACGGATCAAGGTAAAAGATCGTGACAGACATCTAATTGGAACATTTGTTGATACATCGGCTAAAGTAGGCGGAATCAGTCAAATTCTGGGGATAAAATTTTGCTTCCCAACATCACAAACCACCAGTGGGCACTGACGTGCTTTCAGTGACTACTGTAATCTGCTTCTCAGTGGTCTTCCGTTTTCCCAACTTTCCCCGTTACATTCTATAATGAATGCGGCTGCAAGGCTTATCTTTCTCTCCGCCCACACTTTCCACACCTCCCCCGTCTGTCAGTCCCTACATTGGCTTCCAGTTAGATATAGAACTAAATTTAAGATATTGATACTTGCTTACAAATCTCTATACTGTGCTTCTACCTCCTACCTATCCTCATTAATACACAAATATGTTCCGTCTAGGCCCCTACGCTCTGCCGGAGACTTACGTCTAATCTCTGTTCATACTACTACCTCTGATGCTCTCATTAAAGACTTCTCCAGGCTGCACCATTCTTATGGAACAGCCTTCCCCTCTCTGTCAGACTTTAACCCACTCTCCACTCCTTCAAAAAATCTTCGAAAACTCACTTCTTTAGGAAAGCATATCAATTAAACTGTGAACAGCTTTCCCTCCCAACTCCTTGATTCCTCCCCTGCAACTGCCATCAAAACAAAACACTAAGCCCTCAGTGAATACTATCCTAACAACCTACTTTTCTACCCTACCCGTACCTTTTGTGTCACTATTCCCCACTCCCTCTAGCGTGTAAGCTCATTGAGCAGGGCCCTCAATCCTTCTGTTCCTGTGTGCCCAACTCGTCTGGTTACAAATACGTGTTTGTTAGTCCACCCATTGTACAGCGCTACAGAATTTATAAATAATAATAATAATAATGATGACAATATGGAGAGGCTAGAACCCCAGATCTCTTAAAAAATGGTTATGACTGCAACTCTGCAAAATTAGATACATTTATATCTCCCTTTTAATAGTGATCTGCTTGCAAATTGCCATAATTTAGCATTCTTACTATTCTTATCACATCCCTAAGAAACATAAAAAATATACAATGTTTCAATAACCTGTATATTTTAATTGAAAATCCCTATTGTTTGTTAACTTGTTAGCACGTCCTTGAGTTGTGAAATTTGTAAAGGTGCGAAAGATGCTACCTCCTCCCGTGCAGGAAGTCTCCGAGGCATATTACATCATTTAAAGAGATGTGTGCAGCTCCAAGCGTCTTCACAGTTAAGTTTTCCATGTCTGAAACTTTTCATGTCCACGCACTGCTCTATAAATAAAACAAATTCTAGGTACAACACCGAGGATGGCTAAGCAGACTCGGAAACTCATATACCTTTTATTGTCCTGATGTCTGCGGGTAATATTTTTTGCATAAAAAAACAGGATTGGTGCCAGAAGAAATTTAAAGCTCCCCAAATACACGAACAGATGTTTGCTATAAAAAAAACACACAAAAAAAAACAGTTTAGGAAATGTTCAAAGACTATCTCTGCATTTAAGAAGTCTATCAAGCATGCTGACTGTAAATGAGAATGCTTGTTCAGGCAGTTACCTGGCTGAGCCCTGGGCATGACAATAACAATCCCCTTGTTAACTTCCCGCAATCGCTGGTTTAGTGAATAAACACCAACCGTTTTATTATTAATTATCTTATTTAACGTGATAGTATATATTTCAGTTTATGCGCCTACAAAAATATATTTAAATACATATGAATGCATTCTTACAAAATATTCTCAAGTATCTGTTGTTATGTCTCCATACCCAAAGCTTAATGATATTAATAATAATAGTAATTGATTTTGTCTTATAGCGTTTATTAAAGGGTTGCAAAAATCTGTATTTCTAGCATTTGTTAAAGGAACACCCCAGATACCATAATCACTACAGTCCACTGTAGTAGTTATAGTGCCAGAAGCGCCCTAGAACTTTTCCCATGTAGGTAGTCATAGAATGGTTTGACAGCTTACCTGGGATTCACAGGTGCAGTTAACTGCCTCCTCCTCTGCATTCCAAGAAGTTGCCTACTCTGACACAGCCGGGCAAAGCAGGGCGTAGCTTACTGGCTCATTGGCCGACACTCTCAGGCAATAAGCCTGCACCACACAACAAGTGCTAATGGAAACGCCATGATCGCTGAAATTACGGGCTTTAGATGAGGATGTGATTGATGGTGAAAGTAACACATCCAATTAGTTGTGACAGTGTCACCTTAAAGCATCATATATGGCGTTAACACAGCACAGTTTGGAGGTAGTGCTGTTGGTAAAGGGTTTCTAATGCAGTGGGTGCAGATTCAGTGCTACAAGTTTGGGGCTAATTATGCACCTGCTTAGAAATATGATATAAGGTAGGGTTAATACAACAGATGGACATAGGGGATGGTATAGAGCCGGGTTAAGCAACCTTCGACACTCCAGATGTTGTGGACTACATTTCCCATAATACTCTAACAGCCATAATGCTGGCAAAGCATCAGGTGAGATGTAGTTCACAACATCTGGAATGCCGAAGGTTGCCTACCCCTGGTAGAGGGCATGGTTGCGGGAGGAGGACATAAAATTTACTCTTGGGATAAAGCAGTGCCCATGGCACTAGGACAGTCTGTTCAGGACATTTATCAAAGTGTTTGGTTCTAAAAAGTGGCCTAAAGCACTAAAAGTGGGACAGTTATCATGGAAACCAGTGGAACCAACAGTTACATTTCATTTTTACATTTTAGAACCACTTTTCGAAATAGAATACTTACTTGATAAATCTCCCCCTATGAGTCTCCAAAGTACTTTTAGAACTTCAGGTTTCCAGAATAACTTGATGATTTCTTCTCCCGCTCTCCCGAATCCTATTCTAAAACTTTCCCAGACCCAAAACGACCCCTTTGCCTTTAAATGTGTTAGCATTTGAAGGACTGAAATGTAACAGTGTCTTGAGATATCTTTGTGCAAATTCATGTTCCTCCCACAGAACACCAATAGCAAATAGTAGGCCGGTAAGGTTACAGAGTGCCAAACATGCTGTGAGTTTGTCATTGATATACAAAGATTGGTTGTCTTTAATTAAATGGGGGAAATTACGCTTAGAATCATAAGGAATAACAGGCCGACTTAGAACCAAAGTTATAAAAGTGGAGCAATCAACGGAAACATTCCATTGAATTAACCAGCACCTGTTTATTAAAATGTACTTTGCTTCGAACATAAGCTGCAACATTCTAAAAATGACTTCACATCTGCTGAACTATCTCTATCTCTATTATAGACAAAGAATCACAGTCTCTTCCTAAATACAATTTTCTTTTCAGTAGGGTATGATTATGTTAAGTGAAGGTGTCGCGGGTGCTGACCTACAAATTAGGCATTTATCGAATGGCAACAGGAGATCACTGGTTCTTTTTCAGCAGCGGAGGACGATGTGGTGTCATATGACATTTGGCTTGTCACTGTAGCTAAAGCTCACTTACTCGACATTTAGCATAGTAGATTGGCAATATGCAGAGGTCTTGGCACAGCAGGGCATCTTCCTTTTCCTACAAGGCTGAGTGAAATTAGAGATTGGTACGGAGCACAAAAACTATAAAAGGCCAGATGGAAAAGGCCAGTAAGGTCAAATAGCTCTTTTGAAACATGTAAGAAAACTGCGTAGTTGAATGGCAGCCAAGTTAATGTTTGACAGAAGTGCTCAGTCAGGTGTGGGTAATAATTATATTGAATTAAAGGCTTTTTTTTCTTCCTGATCTGTCAAAATATATTGGAGCCTAAAATGAGTCTGTTACCAGTTCATTCAGTATTCCTCTGAGTTTATAAAGCCGTGACTGCTAACCCTGGCACTTCAGATGTTGCGAAATACATTTCCCATGATACCACTCTCATGAATAATTCATTGAAAGTTGCAGTGCAACAGTGTTTCGGGGATCTTGTTACAATTTATGGAAAACAATTGCTTATCTTCATTCTTGTTAACGGAATAATTAAAAAAAAACGTTGATCTTTCAGACATATAACTTTGCCTACTTATTTACTACGTCCGTATAGATTGCTCTTTTTCCTTAAAAAAATAAAAAGCAAAATAAAAATGGTAATATTGTTCTTTCAGTTACATGCAGACCCATTGTCTATGATCCTCAACCATGATAACCAACCCTTGTCTTGTGCCAGACATACCAACAAGTTGGCGGAGGGGTGTGGGGGGATTATCTGAGCGACAAGGTGGGTGCTTTACCTAGAAGATTAAGGGCCCCCAACCAAGATTGACATTGAAGATAAAATATGGTGTATATTCAATATAAAAAAACTACTATTTCAGAAAGGTTTGAACACTTTGGCTCGAAACATTTGTCCATTTGTCCATCCAGATTCTTGTAGCATTTTGAGCGTGCATCACGAGTGGAGAACACAGACTAACTTTGCTTCAAATGTTGAATACTATTTCAAACACTTGTCCACACCCCAAAAAATGTTCTTCCTTCCCTCCTTTAATTTACTTTCCCTTTGTAGTTCACGTCCATCCGTTCTACTTCAACTGTTATATTGTTAAACTGATTGTTCTGATTCTTAGTCCTATCTGGGATTTACCTTGACCGTTTGAAAATTATATTATTGTTTGCCTATTTCTATTTGTTCCTGTATTTTAATATTAAAAATATATATTTTTTAAAATACATAAGTTTAAAAAAAAAAGCATTTTACAGGATGTCAAATATTAAAAAAATAAAAAGGGACATATAATGTGTGTTAGGGTATTTGTAAGGAACCTGATGGCGTTTTGGAAATGTATATTCCTACAAATACCACCAAAAAGTTGTCTGGCATAGAATCTGTTCAACCTTTGGCTGTCGCAGGTTCAAATCCTGGAAGGATTAACTCAGCCCTTCATCCTTCCAAGTTAGATAATATGAGTAGCATTAAATTGGGTACCAGTACATCCACTGGATGTTGGGCAAAAGTAACGTCCTCAGCACATACTTGGAAACCAGAGTAATCTGAATGTCCTGGTTAAATACTTTTGTTTTTATTATTATTAACCTGATACACAGGGACGATATGAAGCCAGATGGAGATCTGGCTAGAATTTTTTATTTGCACTGCGGTAGGTTGAGAGGGAGATTGCGAAGGTCTAATCTAAAACCCATAAATATTATTTTTTTATCCCAACATGTTTAATGAGTTTCTTCGGGTTACATAATTTGATATCTTTATAGAGTTGAATTTTATAATTTTTTTTCATAACCTTAACCAAGATTTTCACAATCGCTGTATTAACATGATTTCGCTTTACAATGGTTAAACATTTCAATTATATATAATGTCAATATTGTATGTTTTTCTCTTTACTAATATTCAGGTTAAGAATTTAGCTTGTGAGATGAGACGGACTTTGTACAGTACGGTCTGCACCCAGTTCTGTCCCTCTCCATGTGTGTTTTCATGGGTCATTAATGGAATCTTACACTAGCGGTAAAATATATAAATATGCTACGAGAAATAATGTAAAGTTTACTCAACCTTTCCCCAGCTGCAGGGGATAGCATAGCACACAGAGGGCAGAAAAAGAGTCGGTTTCTGATATAAGCACTAAGTCTTACTATCTGACATTTTCTACCTAGGCAGAATGGATTGGTACTCTTGTTAATGTAACAGATTTCACAGCACTAATGTAAATTTTCTTATTATCTCTGTAAAGCAGGCACAGAGTGGAAAGAATTTAATGACTGTTGCATCATTAGCCTTTCTCCATACGCTTAAAATGATTGACAGGGAAATGACCCCAAGCAAAATTTGTTATTGTCACTACTATTCTTTACAGGTGTAGAGTTTTATGAAGTACAAACAGACAAGGACCAAAAATGAACTTTTTACCTTTTTCCATTCCCGGCCCATTGATGGACAACAATATTTGATCCAACCAGATGGATATCCTGTATATTGACCAGAGCCTCCTTGGAAATTTCGTACAAGCAGGAAAGCCAACCGTGGTTTAAACTCTAACAAGTGGCCACGTATAAGCCAGCTTGGCCTTGAGATGCCACTGTGGGCAGCAAGGAGAAGAGAAGAAGCTTAATCTTCTGTCAATCGTCATTTGTAAAGCAGGAGAACCGTCAATGTACAAAAATAACTCTCTTTACATCCTTTCTAATCGCACAAAATTGTACTTCATCTGTAAATCTCAAAATGTAGTAAAAAACAACTTTAATATGAATGATATATATTAACACAAAGTTCCTAGCTGGTTGTACAGATAACATTTTCCAATTGTTTTCTGTCAAACTAAAATAGACGAACAGACAGATGATAACGTTGTTAGCATGAATGTCCAGAGTCATTGTTTGTGGTCAGTAAAACTCTTTTTTTTAAATTTAGGTTGTCTGGAATACAAAAATATTCCTACAAAAATGTATGTTAGTCTTTTGCAATATGTTTAGGTAACATATTTTTTTTTTTTTTTGAAGGCTCGTCGAGAATAAAAAATGTGTCAGAGACACTTTCGCTTTCTTCCAGATCGATCTGTGGGCCCATGTTGATAACAGATAATTGTACGTGTAAAACTGGACACATTGCATTGAGTTTGACCTCCTGCCAAAGGTGGACGTAAATTTGACGGCATTTCGACCGATTATAGAACAAATTGGTTGTGTGTAATAAGAAGAGCAACAAATAAAGGACTGTCGACCTTCGAATAATAAAACTATTCTATCTTCAAAAGAAATAACAAAAGAGGTCATCGAAAGTATTCAGTCTCTGCGTTCCCTTTAATTTCCAATTGACATTCATTTCATCAGGAAGTTGAAACATCTGTATTACAAAGTGTATCATTGTATTGCACATTAAGGCCCCAGCGGTACAATTATGTGTTCTGTCTGATAACCAGCATATGTGTCTGTTTTATAAGCAGCTGGAGACTACAGATATAACAGAGATGAGTTTCAGCTAAAAGCAGGGTGAGAAGAGGCTGCAGTATAGAGCTGAATATGAATTGATCCAGCATAACGATCACCGCCGCTTACTAAAAACAAACAGTTTTATTCATAATAAGTAAGGTTATTCAAAAAATTGGGAATTGAGGAAAAATTTAAATGCAATTGAAAGTTTTAGGCTAAAAACGTTGTGTTGGAGAATTTTTTGAACAAAAAAAAAATATATATTTATATTACATTTCTATAATTTAAACCAAAATTTACCACATTAGGTTTACAGTTTGCAACTTCGTGATAAGTGCTCACCAATTTCCAGTTGAGTAAATAACCTCCAAATTAATTATGGCTTTTCAATACTGTTAGAAAAACTTTCATCATTAAAGTCTGTGCACCTTTCTTTGTAGATTAATTTGGGAAATTCTGAGCAATACTGAACAGTTTGGAAAGCGTATTAAATCAAGGCCTACATTTGGTATCCTTCAGAATTTAATTCAGATACTTATACACTCTTCCAAATGCAGAGGGAATCAGCTTAACCGATGACAAAATAAAACATAATATAGTGTAATGTAATCAATTTAAAAGTTATGTGCTTGTAAAAGCAGAAACTCACAAGATTGAGATATTTAAAGAGCATCCAGGGTGCCACCTCCAAATTGATGGGGGGCAGAAGACTCCTCCCAGCATTCCCTTGGATCCACTGAAACTTTAACGTGACGAGCAGTTTGTGGAACGCTGGTATGCCATCACTTGCAGTGGCGTCTCTAGGATTAATTTTTAGGGGGGGCACATGGTGGGCCAGGGACAAAAGTAGGGGGGCACATTTAACCCCACCCTCTCTGCAGGTTTGACTCCACCCTGCCGCATGTTAAGCCCCGCCCCCTATGCAATGTGTTTTTTTTTTTTTTTAATAATCCCTGGTGGAGGATTTATTATTTTCCACCAGGGGTTATTAAAAAACAAACACATTTCCCTTGATACAGTGCCATAGTTGTCAACATTTGAAAAAAATTTCCAAGGACATTTTGCAGCGCAGCTATCAATTACTGTCTGGGTATAATATCCCTGGACAGTCAGTGCTCTCTGTATAATACAGGGTTGTGTGTATAATAAATTGGGACAGTCAGTGCTCCCTGTATAGTTCTGCTCTCTGTATAATAAAGGGCCAGGGCCGGACTGGGAAAAAAATTTGGCCTGGGCATTTTTTTATCACAGCGGCCCACTAAGAAGGGGGCGGGGCAGAGAGGGTGTGTTTTGTCATCATTCATGACAAACACGCCCCCTCTCAAAGTGAGCATGTTGGTTCAATGCTCTTCCAGGGCAGACCATGCGCAGAGCTCTGCTGAAGAGCTCTAGCATGAGAAAAAAGCCCTGTATTTGTTCTGCACAGTGCAAGCAAATTTAATAACATGCTTGCACTGTGTTTCCTTGCAACTTGTCTCTGGTGTCTCTATAAATGGATACCAGGAGACAAAAGGGCCAGGAAAGAGTATTGTGCATGTGTTTGGAGCCTGCTTGTGGTATTGCGTGTGTGCAGAGTGAGCTGGCCATGGTGTGGTATTGTGTAATAAGGTTGGTTTTAGTCATGTTGTGTTTGTGGTGTAATGCAATGCATATGTGGCTAGGGGCTGTAGAGAATGTGTGTATAGGGGATGTAGCAAGTGTGCATACGGGCTATAGTGTGTGTGTGTGTGTATAGGTGATGTAGTGTTTGTAGAGAGTGTGTGTTCAGGGAATGTAGTATGTGTTTGCTTACAAGGAATCTAGTGTGCGTATAGGGGATCCAGAGTGTGTGTGTGTGTGTATATATATATATATATATATATATATGAGTCTTGTGTGTGTTTGAAGGACCCAGAATGTGTAGGAGATCTAGTGAGTGTGCGTATATAACGGATTCAGAGTGTATATAGGGATCTAGTGTGTGTATGTGTGTAGATGATCCAGAGTTGGGTAAAGGATCTAGTGTGTGTCTGGAATATAATGTGTTTAGGGGTGCAGTGTGTGTGTGAGGGGTGCTGTGTATATATATATATATATATATATATATTATATAAATATGGAAGTATTGTGTATGTGTGTGATGCAGTGTATCGGGGGGTTGTGTGTGTCAGTGAGGGGTGCAGTATGTGTGTGTGATGGGTGCTGTGTGTGTGAGGGTGCTGTGTGTGAGGGTGCTGTATGTGATTGATTTGTGTGAGGGTGCTGTGTGTGTGCGTGCTGTGTATGATGTGTGTGAGAGTGTTGTGTGTGAGTGCTGAGTATGATAGTGCTGTGTATGATGTGATGTGTGTGAGAGTGATGTGTGTGTGAGTGCTGAGTGTGATAGTGCTGTGTATGATATGTGTGTGAGAGTGCTGAGTGTAATAGTGCTGCGTGTGCTGAGTGTGAGAGTGCTGAGTGTGAGAGTGCGTGAGCTATGATGTGTGTGAGTGCTGTGATGTATGTGTGAGTGCTGTGGTGTGTGAGTGCTGTGGTGTGTGTGTGAGTGCTGTGATGTGTGTGTGAGTGCTGTGATGTGTGTGAGAGTGCTGAGTGTGATGTGTGTGAGAGTGCTGAGTGTGATGTGTGTGAGAGTGCTGAGTGTGATGTGTGTGATGTGTGTGAGTGTGATGTGTGTGAGAGTGCTGTGTGTGATGTGTGTGAGCGTGCTGTGTGTGAGAGTGCTGAGTGTGATGTGTGTGAGAGTGCTGTGTGTGAGAGTGCTGAGTATGATGTGTGTGAGAGTGCTGAGTGTGATGTGTGTGAGAGTGCTGAGTGTGATGTGTGTGAGTGCTGAGAGTGCTGACTGTGGTGAAAGTGAGTGCTGTATGTGAGAGTGCTGTGTATGATGTGTGTGAGAGTGCTGTGTATAAATGTTGTGTGTTGGGGGGTAAATAAACAAATAAAAAACTAAGTGGGGGTAAATATACAAATAAAAAAACTAAGGGGGGTAAATAAACAATAAAAAAAAACTAAGTAGGCATTAAATCCCCCCTCCCTTCTTACCTTTAGCCTGGGAGGGGGGGACAGGCACGTGGTGTCTGGGAGGGGGGGACCGGCACTCGCACACCATCCCTGGTGGTCCAGTGGTGAGTGAACTCTAGCCTGAAGGCTAGAGTTCACTCTTGCGAGATTGGGGCGTTGCAATGGCAACGCTCCCGATCTCGCGAGAGGAACCCGGCGGAGCTGCAAGATAGAGCTCCGCCGGGTCCTCTCCCTCCCCAGCCGCAGATCTATTTAAATGGGCCAGTGAGGGAGATCTTTGATCTCCCCACCGTCCCTCCATGGAATACAGCGGGGCCGGCGCTCGGATAGTGCCGGCCCTGCATAGACCAGCAGGGGATGTCCTGTGTCCTCCCCTGCCGGCCTCGGCCCATGGCCACCGTGGCCCACCGGGCATTTGCCGGTGTGCCCGATGGCCAGTCCGGGCCTGTACAGGGCTGTGTGTATAATATCCCGGGACAGTCAGTGCTCCCTGTATAGTGCTGCTCTCTGTATAATTCAGGTCTGTTTGTGTATAATATCCCAAGACAGAGAGCAGCACTATACAGGGAACACTGACTGTCCCATGATATTATACAGACACAGACCTGTATTATACAAAGAGCAGCACTATACAGGAAGCACTGTTTATCCCGGGATATTATACACACACAGATCTGTATTATACAGAGAACAGCACTATAGTGTTATACAGATAGCAGAGCATATACCCCATGTCCCAATCTCTAGACTACTAGTACCTGTCAACGGCAGCTCCCAGACGCATGTAACAGGGCTAAAGTGTGCGGCACTCGCTGGCAGAGCCAAACTGGGAATCCCTGGGAATCCAAAGCAGCCCTGGAAAAAAATTTATGCCACTCCTACAAGTCAATATATCTCTCTCTCTCTATATATATATATATATATAGTAGAGTAAGCACACAAGCTCACTGACATGCGCAAATAGGCTTACTGACAGACAAAACTCTCTGACTCACACACAAGCTTACTACAGACAAACTCACTTGTATAAACAGAAGGCTCTCTACAAAGAAGTTCACTGACACACACATGCTCACTAAATAGAAGCTCACTGACACGCACAAGCAGTACCATTTTAATAGCGTTCAGGCCCCCCTGGCAAATCAGTGCACTGGGGCCCTTCCTACACAACAGCTCACAGGAATAACATTTTAATTATTGATAGACTGCTGAGTACATACACACAGTACACTGAATACGAACCCCGAGAGACTGCTGAATACACACACACAGATTTCTGAATGCACACAGGCGTTGCTGAATGCACACAGGCTGATTTATACACATACACACACACACTGCTGAGTCCATACACACACACACACACACACATACAGACTGCTGAGTCCCTACACACACAGAGACACACACACAGACTGCTGAGTCCATATACACACACAGACACACACACACAGACTGCTGATTCCACATAAACACACAGACACACACACACAGACTGCTGAGTCCATACACACGCAGACTGCTGAATCCATACACACATACAGACTGCTGAGTTCATACACACACAGACAGACTGCTTAGTCCATACATACACACACAGACTGCTGAGTTCACACACACACACACAGACTGCTGAGTTCATACACACAAACGCAAACTGCTGAGTCCATACAAACACACGCAGACTGCTGAGTCCATACAAACACACGCAGACTGCTGAGTCCATACACACATACAGACTGCTGAGTCCATACACACACACAGACAGACTGCTGAGTCAATACACACACACACACACAGACAGCTGAGTTCATACACACACACACACACACAGACTGCTGAGTACATACACACACACCCACAGACTGCTGAGTCCACACACACACAGACACAGACTGCTGAGTTCATACACACACATCCACAGACTGCTGAGTCCATACACTCACATTCACAGACTGCTGAGTCCATGCACACACACAGACTGCTGAGTCCATGCACACTCACAGACTGCTGAGTCCATACACACACAGACACAGACTG